TCCCCTCGCGGCGTGTTGCTTCCGCGCCGCGGTCGTTACCTCCGGCGCTCCTTGAGCAAAAAGCTTTTTAAGTCCCCTCGCGGCGTGTTGCTTTCGCGCGGTTGTTACCTCCGGCGCCGCTCGAGAAAAAAGTTAAGTCCTTTCGCGGCGTGTTGCTTTTACGCGGTTGTTACCTCCGGTCCCAAGGGAAATTTTCTAAGTCGACCCAATACATTCCCAGTACTGAGCCGACTTTCGGCCGTAGATCAATATCATTTCTGGCCTTATACACGGTCAATCCTGAGACGAGACTCGCCTCGGAACAGAATATGGTTGCATGGGAGTACTGGTCACCGAGACTGGCACAATACTGATCTAGCGGTTTATCCGCACTGGGGCAGTACCACCCATCAAGTCTTGGCAGCCAATATTGTGCCACTTCTGGGCCATGCGGACAACTCTGGCAAAAGTCCGACATTCGCACATGGGATTGTTAAAGTTGTAAAACATTACTTTCAAAATACATATTTAGCATAGTTGTTCGAGTATGCGTTTTTATAGTAAATTACTTTTTATTTCAGATACATATGCAAAAGCACGCAAAGCTAGTATTAAAGCTGAAGAAGATAGTGCTATTGATGCAACTGCTGGAGAAACAGATGTAGATAAGCCTAAAAAAAGACAGAAACCTTCAAGATATGAGAACTCTGATAATTATGAGAATGATGAACCTGATCCAAAGAAATCAAAAACCAAAAAACAATCTTTTATTAATGATAGTAGTAGTGAAGATAAGGAAAAAGGTCTTGTATCAGACAATATCAGAACTAAAGTGGAAGCACTTTTGGATAATAAAAAACAACTATCTCCTTCACAAGATGGTAAGTTGAATATGTTATACAAATCCTGTGTTTATAGGATTTTATCTCAACAATAATGAATCTTGTTATTAAAATTGATTTATCAATCCACGTTTATATAAACAGTATAAAACTGATGTTTATATTTCAATACTATTTTGATTTGTTATGTTTTTTTGATGTGCATTGTACTTGTTAGATACATCATCATTTATATCATATCGAGCTAATTTAATACAAATTGAATACATGGTACGTGTATGAAACAATCTTATTTTTTAAATTGTATTTTTTTCTTAAATTGTATGATCTTTGAATAAAGCAACAATTAGATTAAAATATTTAAAATAAAGTTTTCTTCTTAAATTTTTTTTAAATATACAGACGGTACTCTTGTTTTTTACGTTAAAAAAAGTTTTGATTTTTATATATTTTATATCTAAAACGGTTATTGTTTTTTTTTAGCGGTTATAAAAAAGCAGTCTACTTCTAAGTTTGTAAATACACTACCATATCAGAAAGAATCACAGTCCTCTGAAATTACCTCAGCTTTCATGAAAGATAAAGGTATATATATATATATATATATATATATATGGGGCATTCTCTGTGAAATCAGACACCCCCTCTGTCCAAAAATTGGAGTCACCTAAAAAATTTTTTCGGGGCTCATTTTATAGCTACACATATGTAGTTTTAGTAGAGCTGCGGCCTTTTGAAAAATCAACATGGCGGACCCCAATATGGTGGCCGAAGTCTGCGGGTAACGAGGTACGACAGATGAAATCGTTACTTGGAAGTTATAGACTGTCATAGGGTGTTTACGATAACTAATCGGATCGCTGATCGGACTGAGCAGTGGCACTCAACCGCTAGACTTCTAAATTTCCCCAGACTAATCCGGATCAGTGATCCTTGTCTCACAGCAGCACAGCACTGATCCCGCATGGTGGAAGAAAGTTGACAGAAAAATTATAATTTTATTGAAAGGTAATTCCAGGTAATCCTTTTTATTTGTCATAAATAATTGTACGAAACATAAAATAAAGTTAGTAATAGTAATTTTAAATGTATTTATTTTAATATTTTTGGTCTAAACATTGGATTCCTTTTCATAAAATTAATCTATTCCAAAGTTTGAGGTTATATTGGAAAAGCGTAAAATTAATAAAAAAACATTTTATTAATTATTAGATAAAAACTGATGACTGATGATTGATGATTGATGATTGATGACTGATGACTGATGATTGATCATGACTGGACATCGCCTATAACGCATGAAGGTAGTTCGGAAGACACTATACTGTGGTAAGTTATAAATGTAGATAAAAATTATGCAATTTGTAATTATTCATGTTACAATATGAAAATAAGAATTTATTTATATCTTTGCAGAAAATATTGAATATATCCGTCGTGCGCAGACACTCGGCGACGGTGTACAAACGAGTGCGGAGCTGATCTGCGCGGTTTGCGACAAGACTGACAAGCTGTCGAGGTGCTCGCGTTGCTAAGTCGTCTTCTACTGCACCAAGGAGCACCAGAAACGCGACGGGAAACGCCACCGGGTTTTGCGAGACTTACCCCGTGGCCGTCGCGTCTACGGAGGAACCGTTCTCTGCCATCTCTGCTACCTCTGCCGCTGTCCTCGCGAACGAGCGTTCCGACCCCAAGATCGGTGAGATCTTTATTAATTGTTAGATAGATAAAAATTGGCATAAAAAAATATTCTATTAAGTTAAACGTGCAATGCGTGCTGTCTTGCCTTTTAGAATGCCTAAGTTTATATCATATCTGTTGTAATTTCAATTTTTACATTTTGTGATCTTGTTACAGCAAATCAATTTAATAGAATGCTTTTATTGTATAGAAATGTTCAATGATATTTCTTGTTTATTTTCTTTTAATTGAAAGTAATCCTCTTTTTCTTCTTATATATTTTAATTTTCTTAGATTACATAAAGTTAGGCATTGTAACATGCAAGAGCATACGTATAACAATATACAAATATATACACAAATAACTTGAATTCCAGGTCAAAACGCTCGTTCGCGAGGACGATAGCGACAGAGAGGTAGCGGAGGTAGCAGAGGTAACAGAGAACGACTCCTCCGTAGACGCGACGGCCACGGGGTGAGTCGCGCAAAACTCCCGGTGGCGTTTCCCATCGCGTTTCTGGTGTTCCTTGATGCAGTAGAAGACGACTTAGGAACGCGAGCACCTCGACAGCTTGTCAGTCTTGTCGCAAACCGCACAGATCAGCTCCGCATTCGTTTGTACACCGTCGCCGAATATCTGCGCACGACGGATATATTCAATATTTTCTGCAAAGATATAAATAAAGTCTTATTTTCATATTGTAACATGAATAATTACAAATTGCATAATTTTTATCTACATTTATAACTTACCACAGTATAGTGTCTTCCAAACTACCTTCATGCGTTATAGGCGATGTCCAGTCATCGATCAATCATCAGTCATCAATCATCAATCATCAGTCATCAGTTTTTATCTATCTAATAATTAATAAAATGTTTTTTTATTAATTTTACGCTTTTCCAATATAACCTCAAACTTTGGAATAGATTAATTTTATGAAAAGGAATCCAATGTTTAGACCAAAAATATTAAAATAAATACATTTAAAATTACTATTACTAACTTTATTTTATGTTTCGTACAATTATTTATGACAAATAAAAAGGATTACCTAGAATTACCTTTCAATAAAATTATAATTTCTCCGTCAACTTTCTTCCACCATGCGGGATCAGTGCTGTGCTGCTGTGAGACAGGGATCACTGATCCGGATTAGTCTGGGGAAATTTAGAAGTCTAGCGGTTGAGTGCCACTGCTCAGTCCGATCAACGATCCGATTAGTTATCGTAAACACCCATAGAAAAATGTGTTAATGTGTTTATTTAGTAGTTAGCATTGAATCCATGGAAAAAATAAATTTTTAGTTTGTCCAAAACCAATATGGCGGCCAAATTATCCGTGAAATGCTAAAAAATAACTATTTCGTTCTTTAAAACGTACAAACTGCGTTCAATTTTCATGAAAATTTATATCATGATACATTTTAAGATGTTGATCATAAATTAACAATTGGGACGTCGTATTTGAATATAACGAAACCCAATATGGCGGCTGTATATTCGAAAAATGTTAAAAAATAATGACGTCGATATTCAAATCATACAGACTCGTTCTAATTATTATTAATTTGAGTGTTACGGTATTTTTTAATTGCTTTTTTTTTACTTTTTCAAATTTTTAAGAATTTTTATTATTTTTTTATTTTTGACTATGATTTCGTTATTGCGGTAACAAAATTTGAACGTGGTTGATCAAATATGGCCGCTACACTTCACTGACCGGACAATCTGTCTCTCCTGCCTTCACTGGCTGGACAGTCTGTCTCTCTTGCCTTCACTGGCCGGACAATCTGTTTCTCCTGCCTTCACTGGCCGGACAATCTGTCTCTCCTGCCTTCACTGGCCGGACAATCTGTCTCTCCTGCCTTCACTGGCTGGACAGTCTCTCTCTTTTGACTTCACTGGCTCGAAAAACTACCTGTCTTGCCTTCACTTACTTATTCAATGTCAAAATAGAGAAAAAGTTCATATTTTGTCGACCAGTGTAACCAGAAATGTACTTAAGTTAACAAATGAGATGATTTTTTATCGGTTTATGGACTTATTCAGATACTAAGGCATATATGCCGTATCTCGTAAACTAGATCTGATAGACCACAAATCTGACGGTATACTTGGATTCTGCACCTCACAATT